GAACCTCCTTAGTTTACAAATGGAACCTCCTCAGTTTACATTTTGAGCCTCCTTAGTTTACATTTGGAGCCTCCACAGTTTACATTTGGAGCCTCCTTTGTTTATGGTTTAAACCTCCTTCCTCCTCAGGAACGATTTGGTCGGGGCTCAGACCGTGACAGATGAACTGTTTCCTCCTGATGGTGATGGAGAGGAAGGAGCAGAGCTCGACAGCGCTGTGGTCCAAATCAACCTGGACTTGGTGGACGATTACCCGGCGTCAGACCCCCGCTGGGCCGAGTCGGTCCCTGGTGGTGAGGAATGGTGATGAGCTTCTATACTGAATCCCAGTTAAACAGCTGATTATAATGAAAACCGTGAGCTGAAGATTTAGGGTTGCTGCTAGTGATGATGGTCTGTAGTTTCTTATTATCTCTTGGTCAGGAAAGAGTCAGACATCATGTCACCAGGTAGGCAGTCCTGCTGTAGATGTTTACTAAGCCTCTTAGAGGAACATCATGATGATTCAGATGTTTCAGGATCTAAAGCCTGGAGTTTAGTGAGCAGATGACCTTAATGTGGGCCACTGAATTGGACTCTTTGATTTTCTTGGTCTTTTCAGAAAGCGCTGGTTTTCCTCTCACATCCCTCATCATCCTCCACCAACTGGAAGACAAGATGAAGGCTCACTGCTACTTCATGGACTTCCTGCTCCAGGTATTCTCCTCATCCTCCATGCCAGATTTTCATCCTTAGCCTGGGTTCCCAGGTCTACCTGAAATCATTGGAAGTTCTGACAGAAAACTAGTTCTTGTGTGAAATCTGACATGTTAGTGAAAGCTCACAGCTGATTGGTTTGGTTCCGTTGGTTTGGTCCTATGTTTCCTCTTTGTGGGATCCACCGTTGTGTTCGAACTTCTCACTGCTAAACTGTCAACGAGTCCTTCAGGCTGTGGACGACGTCCAGCTTTGTCCCTCATCTGTTTTGGGTTTTTTTAAGCTTGTTGTTTATGTTGCAGTTTAGAGATTTTACTTATTATTTTCCCCAAAGCGGATTTGTTTAACTTTTTATTCCTGTCAGACTGCGTAGGTCTGACCCGGTAGATTAGAGATCCACCTCGGTTTGAGTCACTCTAGCTCTGTACCATAGAACCATGTGAGTCTGAGAAATTCAGTGAGCTCTAAGTAGAACAACCTCAGAGACCTTAAAGGACTGCTCTATGATTTTACATTTTCACATTTTCTGGTTTGTTCGGGTCTCTACAGTAAAATCTCTAGACCAGCAAGCTTTAAAAAATAAAAAAATAATCCTAATAATCCTAGCTGGTTAGTTCAGATTAAGATCAGCAGAAATTACGTAAAAAATAGTGAAATTGTTCTGCTCCAGTCAAATCTGTATCAGAAGAAGGGTTTTTAGAAGAATGGAACCTGTTATGTCCTCCATCTTTTAGTGGGATTAGTAATTTGGTAAAAAAAAAACAGCGAAAGCCTTCAATGAGTTTGGATTAAACATTTACAGAAGAAGAAATGATGAAAGTCTTGTGTGTGATGTTCTGCTCTCCATCAGATGGGTCTGCTGGACCGGCTCAGCCAGGTGACGGTCAGGTCGTCTCCCATGGCGACGCGCCTGCTGCTGTGCGAGCACGCCGAGAAGCTGCAGGCGGCCATGGTGCTGAAGACCCACCACAACAAACACGCTGAGCTGGTGAACCGGGCCATCGGCGTGGCGCTGCAGAGGAGCAGCACCTCCGTGCCCCCCAGCCTTACAGCAGCAGACGTCTTCTTCAGGGAGGTGTGTTTCCAGAGGTCGCCGTCGACCCGCCTGGCAGCGGGGCGCTGTTTAACCGCCTGCCGCTGCTCTCACAGGTGTCCCAGATCTCCCTGCTGTTTGACTGCCTGATTGAGGAGGAGGAGCGGATTCTGAAGGAGAACCCCGTGGACTCAGTGCAGTGGGCCGAAGCGGTGAAGACGGTGAACACCATTCTAAAGGTAAACCCTCCGGTTTACTCCCTGATAGATGGAGAACAGAGACTCCATCCTGAGGGCGGGTGAGGTGTGAAGGCATGTGCTCTGTGTGCAGGACATGCTGCAGGCTGCAGGGCAGTACAGAGAAACCAAAGCCTCCATGTACAGAGCTGCAGAAAACGCCGCTGCAGAGCCTGAATACATCCCATGGACAGGTAATAAAGCAGCCGCTGCAGGAACCACAGCATCTCTGATTTAAATACAAGAATCTTCCCCCCACCACCTCTTCTGTCCTGCAGCGTCCGGCGGTGTAGGAGGCGTCCGCACCGTCATTTCCCACCAACACGACATAATCCTGCGCTCTGTCTACCCGCACGCTGACTCCAAATTACGCAGCAACGTCTGTGAGCAGCTGGTGGCGCTGCTGGACATCTACCTGGGCGGCTACGTGGCCCAGCTGTCCTCCCTGCAGAAGCAGGGGACCCAACAGGAGCGCTACGACAACCTGGAGATGGAGTACAGCCAGCGGCGCTCAGAGCTGCTCAGCCCCCTCTGTAAGTGGAGGAAGGTGACCTCAGTGACCTCTGGCACCATAAGCAGCTTTTCATTTACTACGGGCTAACTTTCTTTAACCACTGTGGGACACTACAGTGACTCAGATATGAAACAAATTCATAGTAGAACCTCTAGATGCATCAGAATATGGCAGCTTCTCTGCATCAGTTACTGTCCTACAAATTTAATTAGGATCTCTGTAGACAGAGATGCTGCTAAGTTCTCCAGCTGAGTGCTCCTATGGTGATGCCCTTACTTTCTAAACCCAGCATTGTTCTAACAGAGCTGCTCTCATCACTGAACAAGCCATATTGGCCTGTTTTCCAGTGTAGTCCTGTTTCTCTGACTGTGACTAACTGGATGTGCTCTCTTCATCCTCTGCCATGGGAGCTGGCTCTGAGCTCGTCTGCCTGGCTGTGTGTTACCTGGACGGACTGCCTGTGGAGCTGGTTGACAGTTGCCTTTTGTATCTCTGCTTCTGTCTCCTTAAACCCCAGTCAGCCTCAGCAGATGGCCGCTCACACTGAGCCTGGTTCTACTGGAGGTTTCTTCCTGTTCAAAGGGAGTTTTTCCTCTCCACTGTCGCTACATGCATGCTTAGTGTGAGGGATTGCCTTCGGGTCAATGGGTTGATGCAATCAGCTGGTTTTCCTTAGATAGAAAACTTTGAATCAATTTGACTGGATGATCTGGTGAACTGAAAAGTGCCTTGAGATGACGTGTTGTGAATTGATGCTATAGAAATAAACTGAATTGAAATAAACTGAATCAAAACCACAGCAGTTTATCAGAGCAGACATTAAATCCAAAGATCTCCAAGAAACAGACACAAACGTCTGGTTATTAGAGGAGCTGCATCTGGAGGCTGTTTTGATTTTTCATGTATCGGCCCAAATGTTCCTCATCCAGTGAGGTCACCATGAAGCTGCATGGCTGCTACCTCAATCTGCTGGCTTTTTGTTTTGTTTTTTTTCCAGATATGTTTATTGATTTTTGTTTAATAGCAGCAACATAACATAGAACACAAGCTCAGCAGTGCAGAAAAGATAAGATAGGGGGCAAACATATTTCCATCATCATAGAGTCCAAATCTAAGCATTTCTAGACGCTCTAGACAGGATGGTAGACGCCTGTCCTTCAGCATAGTCCAGGAAAGGCTTCCATATGCGGGTCAGTCTTAGAGTGGACGAGGCATGTTAGAAAGTCGAGACGGATATATTCTAAAATAAACTTCTTCCACCCATAAATAGTAGGAGATATATTAGAAATCCATTGTAAAATAATATCTTTCAAGCACATAAAATTAGGACATTGTACAATTTGCTCTTGTTTTGATTTTGGATCTGTTTGTTTGGTAGACCGAGGAGAAGAGACGCTGGATCCAGATCAATATGGGTTTCAACGATTTTCCTAGTCTCCCCATCTGCTGGTTATTGGTTAATGAATGTTGGTTTATATTGAGGAATATACAACATCTGTTTCATTTAAGTCATTTTTATCATGTAGCAGAGGAAAGTAAAGCAACATTAGACTGAAGAAGAGTTGGAGCTGCTCTGAAAATAGCATCATTAAGGCCTTCATATCAGATTATTGAAAATAATCTGAAAATAATTATTTAAGCTCTGGGTGCTTGAAGTTCATCCTTTAGAAAGGGGTTAGCCCTATGGGCTAAATCCTTTACTACATCCCCCAGAATGCTGTGCGATTCTAGATCAGAGTTGAACATATTTTCTATTCAGTTTATTTCTATAGTGCAGATTGATCTCTGCTGTCCTGATGTGTTTTTAATCTACTTGCCAGTTCTAGGATCTGAAAGTGTTCCCTCATGCAGCGTTGTTCTATGAGACGTTGTTCTGCTGTGCTGGGACGGGTCCAGTCTAGAGCTGTGTTCTGTGTGTTGCAGTGGAGCTGGGTCAGTACCAGTGGGTGGCTGCGCTGGCTGAGAAGTACTGCGACTTCGACATCCTGGTTCAGATGTGTGAGCAAACGGACAACCAGAGCCGCCTGCAGCACTACATGGCCAAGTTTGCAGACCAGGTAGAACCTTCCAGAACCAGCTGCTTTATTTAACATGGAAACGGGTCATTTAGGTTAAACTTCACCACATGCTGTGAGGCTCCTGTTTATCCCTGCAGCTTAGATCCAGTTCCTCCATCTGGGTAGCTAATGCTTATTTTGCAAATTGAATAATCTGCCGATTATTATTCGACTGATGATCAGAAAAGGTTCCTTAAAGAACTTAATTCCTTACCAAATTAAACGGATTAAACTAAAACTTTTCCACTTTAGAAGCTCTGGATAGAGCAGATTGATAGATGAAAACATTTTTATCTTAAAAGCAAAATGTATATATATTATTTTACCATCTTAGTATTATTGCTTCTAAGTGGGTCGCTCTGTCAGTGAAAGACATGTTTTAGAGTCTCTAAACTCCAGTTAACAATTAATTGATTATTAAATTAATTGACGACTGTTTCAATAATCATTTAATCCGATTAATTGTTTCAGCCCTAATCAGATGGATGTTTTCTGTTCAAATCAGGTGTTTATAGCAACATCTGTTCTCCAACACTGAGCTTCAGCCTGTGACCTGAAAATAATAATGGAATGGACTGAGGAACCGAAAAAACAAATATAAATTTATTTAGAAATTCATTCATTTTAGGGCTGAAACAATCAGATTAATCGATTATTGAAATAATTGTCAACTAATTTAGTAATCGATTAATCAATACCTGGATCATAGAGATTTTAAAACATGCGTTCAGCTGACAGAGCGAGCCACTTAGAGCAGGAATTATATCTAAATTGTAAAGTAATATGTAAAAATGTAGCATTTAAAATAAACATCTTTTTTGTCTGTCAGTATTCTCTCTCCAGAACTCCTGAAGTGGAAATGTTTAGTTTTATCTGGTTTCATTTGATGAAAAGTGTTATTTAAGTAACTTTTGGCTGTCTGATTATTAATCTAAAAAATAATCAGCAGATTAATTGATTTGCAATATAACCTTTAGCTGTAGCCCTAGATTATTTATTTTCATGGGAATTAAATTTAATTTATCTGATATTTTAGTGCTTCATCACAATGATCGTTACAATTGTCCCCTCAGGGGGCCCCTGCCCCCACCCTGCTCTAACGTATCCTGGGTTAACCTGAACCTTTGTGGGATGGGACAGCAGAGGGTCTCCTCTGTTTCCTGAAAATAATCCATCAGTGTCCAGGTTTCCAGGCAGCCTGGAAAATCATTACATTTAATTCCACAATTTTCCAGACCTGGAAATTTAATTTTGAAGCAGAAATAGAGAATTAAAAACTGTATCTGTGGACTTGGCCCTTCATTAGGATTTAATTATACTTCCTTCATTAAATCCTGTAGGAACTTTGCTCAGCTTTCTTCAACCAGTTGGAGGCGTTGATCTCTGTGGGCAGGAAGGATCCTCTGTAGCTGTCTGTGTTGCAGAGGTCCCAGAGAATTTCTTTCTTTCGTTCTTTCTTTCGTTCTTTCTTTCCTTCTTTCTTTCTTTTTTTTTCTTTCTTTCTTTCTGTCTTTTTGTCTGTCTTTCCTTTCACCCTCCGGGTTCATCCTGTACTGTCTAAAATCCCGCCTCCTGATCACATCTGTCCAATAAATAAGCAGTAAATCTGTAGTAGTGATGTCATCCCTGAGTTCTCTGCTATGTTACTCAGACGTGAAACAAACCTCATCATCGTCCCGTTTGTGTCCGACTTTCTTCCCTGCTAGAACTTTGCTGACTTCCTGTTTCGTTGGTACATGGAGAAAGGAAAGAGGGGGAAGCTGCTGTCCCAGCCCGCCGCGCAGCACCAGCAGCTGGCCAACTTCCTGCAGTCCCACCAACACCTGAGCTGGCTGCATCACATCTACGTCAACGACTACCAGAACGTACGCAGCACACAGTCTGCACCGATGGGACGGGTTCCTAACAGGGAGGGATGATGATAACAAAGCCAGAAAAAATTATGAAGCAACAACAGAAAATAAAAATACATTTAATTTTCTGATTTCTTCTCTGAAACCATGAGGAGGAACAGTAGTGGTTAAAATGGCTTCAGGAACTACTTGTTTATAATGTTTATTTAATGTAATTATAGTACATAGTATATCAGTATTAATATTGGTATCAGCTGGTGATACGATTTTAAACATGTTGGTATGGAAGTAAAACAGCTGATATAAAATCTTGTTTTATTTGCATCTTGTAGCTGTTTGTTCCTGATCTGACGATCTGCTCAGTCCTCATAAAGCTGCATCCTGTGTGTGTTCACTGCAGGCCCACAGGACCCTCTACAGCCAAGCTAACAAAGAGACGCGTTACTTTGTGAAGAAGAAGACGCTGCTGGCTCTCAGTAAGCTGACTGCTCTGGCCTCAGACCTGCAACAGGATGAGCTCAACAAACAGGTGGACGGTAAATATCTGCTCCCCTCAGAGCCCAATCTGTGGATTTAGTCCCGCTGTTCTATCAGATCAGCAGACCCATAGCCAATACACATTTATCCCTTTAGTTAATCCCAGTGTATCCTTTAATTTTGTATTAAAATAGACTTTAAACTACCTGGACGGGCGTTCATCCCTTCAGTCATGTAAAAAACAATTAAATTATTTAGTTTTTGGTGTTTTTAGAAGCATATGGCGATCTTACCTTTTATTGTTTGTTTTTTTTACACGATTAAAAGGGATCCACGCCAGTTGAGGTATACATTGCAACTGGTCCAACTAGGGAGTACCAATATGGCAGCTAGAGGATTCACTTCAACCCCTGTACTACCAACAGGCTATCAGCAATGCAGTGAATAAATAGAGATCAGTGGGTCTTCTCCCCAACCAGTGAGCATTTTTCTTCAGGAGCTGCTAGGAACAGAGCTGATTGGGTAGAAATGTGACCTAACCTGAATGCTGTTCACTGATTGGATGAGGAGAAAGGAGGAGGAAGGGCACAAGTTCAACTGAGTCATCAATATTAAGGCCTTCCATTAATGGAGGAGGTCTCACTCAGTGTAACTCAGGTCACTCTAACATGACAGTACAGGTGGTTTAAATTCAGAAAAAGCAACCTGTGAGGGGCCCGATACGGGGCCATGAGCTCCTCCAGATGCTTCATCAGCAGACACCAGCTTTAGTTGTTTCCCTGCTTCTCTTGGGGACCTGCTTAACGCAGGGGTAGCATTATGTCGAGTTATAGAGGTTGGTGTCGGTGCATCAGTGTTGAGTTCTTAGAGGTTCTGGATGTGACCTAAACACGCTGTGGTCCGTCTGAGGGAGAGACTGAACCCACTCTGAAGGTCATTTCCTTTGGTTAACATTCAAAGACGGTGATGAAGCAGTTCTTAGACTCTAACTGATGGCCTCACTACTCTGCCTGGTCCAGATATCGTGGAGCAGGAGCGCTTCCTGCTGCACCAGGAGACTCTGCCCAGGCGCCTCCTGGAGGAGAAACAGCAGAACCCAGACTCCATGCCTCTGCTCAGCGCCCACAACCTCATCCAGGTGAAAATCAGTCTGTCTTTGGATCAATCCAGGAAACACTGTGGGAGCAGTTCTGCTAATTTAGTATAATCTGATTGGTGCTTAATGTGAGGAGAGCAGAGCGGGTTCAGCAGGACAGGATAATAACCGATGGTGCTTCCTTTCCTCCAGCTCTACATCTGTGACGACAACAGGCAGGCCAACGAGTACGACTTTAAAAAAGCTCTGGACCTGCTGGAGTACATCGATGAGGTAACTTCCTGTTTCTGTCCCACCTGTGAGGACGGATTGGATGGAGCGCTCGTTAAAGATTCACTGTTATTGTTTCAGGAGGATTCAGTCGACATCGATTCTCTGAAGTGTGAAATCCTGAGCAAAGCCCTCAGGAGAGACGAGTAAGATTCCTACTGTGATTACAGACATGGCAATAAATAATTAGATCAGCAGTGGCAGGGGCAGATTTAGGAAATGTGGGGCCCTAGGCAAAGACAGGCAGGGGGGCCCTTTGAATTGAGAGGACAACACATAAAACAGACCAGATCGAGAAATGTTAATAGAATAGACATCCATTATCTGTTCTAGGTTGGCTGAGACACACTTAGTGTTATAAGTGTTCTGGTGGCAACAAAAGTATTTTTTCAAAACCATAATTAATGTGCACAAATAAGGAATAGCTGTATTAAACATACATACTCCATAAAAGGAGTTTTATGGGGCCCCCAGAAATTTGGGGCCCTAGGCAACTGCCTAGTATTGCCTAATAATAAATCCCCCCTGATCAGTAGATCGTCTTTAGGTCAGAGAGACGGGCGACACTGCCTTGATTGATAATCTAGATTATGTCCTCTTATCAGAGTATTTTCTTTAGATTAATTCTACTTTAGTAGAAGTATTTTAGAAATATTTAGCACTGAGTTCAACAAGCAGACACAAACAGCTGTGGTGCCATCTGCTGGCAGCATTGCAGAACTACCAGACTGACACCTGAGTAGAGGCTGAAGCGACGGCCCTTTGGTCAGAGCTTTTAATGGAGTAAAGAGGTTCATGTTGGTGACGGTGATCCATTAACACATGCAGAATACAGGAGAAGGAAGGCATGTCTTAACCCTGTAATGCTGAGGGAATCATTTATACGCTGTGTTTCAGACTTCATCAGATAGATCTGTTTTTATTTTAAACCTGATTTAAACTAACAAAAATTAAGTAAATATGAAACGCATAATAAAATGCCCAGAAATGCCTGATGTATCACAGACAGTCTTTTGTTTAGGAATATTTAATGGGATAGACACCTTGGTTTATCACATCTTTAGGGCCGAGTAGTACAGTCGGTGGTTCAGCGAGTATCCTCCCCTGGAAATGTTTAAATATGGACTCTGAAATGCTATTTCCAGCATTTTGCATCAGAATGCAGCTATTTTTTTGTCTTTGGTCCATCACTACTTTTATTCTGCTTTTGGGAAGCATGTATGATTGACTAAAGGTGGAAATCTAATTAACAAAGGCATCATTTTTAGTTACAGTATTAATTTAAAAATTCAGAAAGTGTGACTTAAACTTAATTGATTGCTACACATACATTAGTGCTGCAACCAACAATTATTTTGCAAATGGATGAATCTGTCAATCACTTTTTTCGATTAATAATCAGATGGTCAAAGGTTCCCTAGAGAAGACTCTTCCCAAAATGAAACCAGGTGAAACTAACACTTTTCCTCTTGTGGGGTTCTGGGTAGAGCAGATTCACAGATGGAAAAATAACATTTTTTATCTTAAATGCAAAATGTTAATATATTTTTTTACCATCTTGATATAATCCCTGCTCTTAGTGGGTCGCTCTCTCAGCTAAAGGCATATTTTATTGTCTCTATTCTCCAGTTAACGATTGATTGATTACTAAATTAATTGACGATTATTTCAATAATTGATTACCCGCGATTAATCCGATAAATTGTTTCAGCCCTAATATACAAGGAGAACAATGACAAACTGTAGAACAGTCTACAAATACTACAACACACCAACAGAGGAAGTGCAGGCAGAACTGCTTTGATTTCTGACGATCTACTCTGTTAACAATACTGGTTACATTGAAACTAATCTGAAATTTGATTTTCATGTATCTTAAGTAAATTTTTTAAATGTAAGCTGATGTGTTACATCAACAGGTGTGTTGCACTGAAGAGCAGTTATACCAGCTGTTAATGTCCAAAGAGCAAAATAAGCTGTTATCTATAAACGTTATCCTCCTTTGGAAATAAAGACTACCATGAAAGAATTGCGGCATCTGCTTGACTTTTGCTACGGATTTATTATTTATCACCTTTAGCTTTTTCCCCCATTCCATGGATAGCATTGTCCCAAAAACACTCCAGAATAATCCTATAGTTATAAATCTTTCATAAACTTTTCAAAGCTACAAGCTTAACTGCTTGCAAACAGCACAGCATGGTTGTTCCTGCTGATGAAGTTGTCCGTAGGGACGTTAGATATTCCATCGTATTCCAGGGAATATTCCGTATCAAAGCCGTTCATCCCTTAAGCAGGGCCTTCAATTTCTAATATATTTATTAAAGGGTGTACAGTGTACGCCCATATCCTAGCTAAACGCCAAGTTATATCTAAATTAACATTCAGCTTCATTCATCCATCTTTAATAAATCCCTGGATCCAACATCTTGTATTGTCAGACAGTTATTTGGTCCAGGCTCTACAGGGTTTAAGGAAGCTGATAATAAAATCCCACTTTGCTTCTTCTGCTTCCTGGTTATGGTGAAGTTCTGACATGTTTTAAAACTGGGGATGTTTTCATTTCTGTTGTTTCTCTGTGAATTATTGACCACTAACCTCATCATTCATGTGCTGCCTGTTTCCAGCTGGTCCTCTGCTGACGGGAACGACGACCCCCTGGAAGCGGCTAAAGACAGCATCTTTGTCAAGATCCTCCTCAAACTCATCCAAGAAGGTCAGACACCTTAGAAATAGATCAAACCTTTCAGACGGAAGGATCCTATTAAAGCTCTGAATATGTGCCGATATCTGAGATAATTCAGGAAACACTAAACAGGGGGTCTGTTACCCCTAGGGGATCCATTGAGGTACTGTATGGGGGTCATGAAACTTTGGTTGATTAGACTTTTTTTTT